GAGAGAGAGAGAGAAACTTCGAAAAACCGTTGGCCACGAAGAGAGGTCGGAAAAGAGGTTCGCAAATTAATTACATCGTTCCTTCTAGTTGGCTAAATAAAAAGCTAAGCGAATTTCATGGGATGGCGAGCCAGCCAGCCTTCCTTGTTTTATTATTTCCCTCTTTTTTTGCCCACGTTTCACCCAACTTCTCGAGAGGAGAATATATCCACACGAACGTGCCGTGAAAATATTTCTTCTTTAATTTTCCTTAAACCCCTCGGTGGTTTCGCGGTGGCTGTAAGCGCAACCCCTCGCGTGTGTTAAATCTGCACACACACACACACACACACGCGTGTGTTACATTTCGCGCGAAAGCTTGCACGGACGTGACAAGTTTCCAAGGCTTTGTGACGATAATCGATGCATTCAAGCCGTCCCAGACGGGTAACCCGAAGTAACCCCTCGGTTCAACTGCACGGAAAACACCGATTCCTTCTTGAGACGCTTCTCGCTTTTCTTATTTTTAACCCTTTAAAGCTCGCCACGCGTGAAATTTCCCCACGTTCTTTCAACTTCGTTCACCTCGATAACCAACACTTTCGATACGCCGATGTGTATATATCGAGAAATAATCACCTGACCGCCGACCATGCCTTGGCGAAGCCTGACCAAATCCGTTTGGCTCCAGGCGCTCTTGCTCCAGGGCGCGACTTGCCGTAGATCCTTCTCGAAATCGAAGTCGGCCAGCTGGTTGTGAACGAAGTTTCTGATGTTCCAGGGCAGGTCATTGTGTCCGTCGATCAAAGGCACCTCGGAAAGAACCTGTCGCACCGTCTCCAACCTTTCCTTGGGCGATGCCAGGTGTGCAGTCTCGCCATCGGCTGGTCGTGGCCCAACCCTTCCTATCCAGCTCCCGATCGACAATATGATCACGCTTGCTGTCCAGACACCGCTCTGACCGCCACACTGCAACACCGTTCGATCACGATTGGTTATAATAAAGCGACACGATTATTTATTTATTTACGACGATTATCGATCCATCTCGCCCGAAATTGCGATTTGGGATCTTTCCAGGGGCACCAACTTGGGCACTAACGTGAATTCCGAACAATTTACTGGCGGATCACGGTTTTATTACTGCCATTAGGGACGGTTCTGTAACTAATCGCACGGGCCATAAATAATCGAGAGAGTCCAAGTTTTTACTCGGCTCTTGACAATGGCGAATAAACCTTTTCCCTTTTTTGATGGATCGCACGATCCATTTACGGAGGAGGGATTCGTTATTAATTAATTTAATTAATAATTTCTAATCTCAATCTTAATCTTGTCCTTACTGTTTCAAGTATTTCGAACAGGCTTTCGTATCGTATCGCGTAAAAACTTTAAATCGGTTTAAATCCTACACACGAATCACGTATACAAGCGGGGTAGGAGTTATGAAAAGCTTGAAACTTCAACTCCGCTATATATATATATATATATATATATACTACCTT